AACTAATAATATATTTAAGGATATTTGGATATAGAAACTGTCATCCAATTTTTTTTCAAACGAATATAATTAGATTTATTATTTAGTGAGTTTGAGTGTCAATGGAATAAATAAAAAATTAACATAAATAAATCATTCATAATCCTTGTTTACTTTTCTACTTATGCTCAACCCTTTTTTTTTCTTATTTTTCTCCTATTTTTCTGTTATTTGTTTCCTTATGTAAATTTTATTGTTTTATATTGTGTGAACTTAAACAATATTATCTATTCTATTTTTTATCATTCATTTTAAACATAGATGCCATGTTCCTATTGGTTAATAGTTATTGTTCATATATAGGAACAAAATTATGATTCTACATATATTAATTCATCGTATCCAAATTATCAATTGGAATTCGTTATCAAGATTTAAGTGAGAATTGAATACACGTCAACAGTTCAATATTTTTTAATTTTGTAGATCTTGATGATAAAATATTTTGGAGAATAATTATATTTTTGAAAATTAATATATTGCTCGAATTGAACATAATGCACAAATGAAAAGGTTAAAAATTGTTAAAACAACATTTCATTTGAAATCTTGTTAACTCCTTAAATAAATTTCGACCTTCACTCAATAAATTTTATAGATTCGTCCCTGACCATAGTTCTCATGAAGAATTTCTCCCATAAATGCAACGCATATGCATTTAAACTGTTCACTAAATAGGTTAATTAAATTTTTCGAAACGAACGTGATCTCCTTCATTTAATGCAAAACAAAATAAATAAATGAAAAACAATAAAACAAAGATTGGGAAAATGCATATTGGTTTACTTTGACTAGTGTTCTAAAAAGTGGTTAGGCGCTCGCTACGGTGGGCTAAGACCTAGCGCTTAGGCATGGACTTGATGGCGCATAGACGCAGTTGATAAATAGTAATAAATTTATTTATATTTATCATCATACATAATTTATAAAATTATGTTCACTAATGTAGTGAATACAAAAATTAAGTAAAATCTAATGCATTCATAATTAGTATATTAATTTTGAAATAATTATTAATATTTTATTATATAATTAATATATAAATTTCACGTATAAAAATTAAAATTATTTATATTATTTTAAAAAGGAAATTCAAAAAATTGAAAAAAAGAAGTATATACGGGCGCCTGCCAAGACCGCCTAGGCGCAAGCACCTTCACAACTGCCTAGCCCGCTTAGTGTAGTCTAGTCTGCCTAGGTGTCACCTAATCATTGGAGCGCCTAGAACAACCACCTAGCAAAAGTCGTGGCGCGTAGGTGTCGCCTAGCGCCTAGCCGATGTTTAGTACAAAGCCCTTGACTAAATTAGAGCTGTCAAAAGGCGGGCGGGGCGGGCTGGCCCGCTATCCTGGCGGGCTGTAAAAGGCTGGCCCAACCCGCCCCCTCCACGGGCCGCGGGTTTGGCGGGCCAGGCCCGCTGCTTAATTTTATTTATTTATTTATTTTTATTTTGGATCAATTCGAGCCTTATTTTTTGAGCTCATATTTTGCAATTTTATTCCCTTATCCAGCCCATACGTTTCCACGCATGTTTTTCCAAATTCCTTAGCACTTAGCAGCGATAAAACTTGTATTATGAAGTTAAGAACACACAAAGAAGAGGAAGAAAACAAAATAAAAAAAAACACCCTCAAATTAGTTCACAAGCAAAGCAGCAGCCGATAAAATTCCTTCATTAATCCCAAATTCTCAATTCCCTTCCTTCTTTCTTCGGTTGGGTCCTAAAAAATCATTCCATCATCCCCAAAAAATCCTTCCTTCTTTCGGCTGAGTGTTGAAGGGGCCGACGGCGATTGAGACTAGCGCAGGGGCCAGATTGAGTTTCCGATGGCGGAGCACGGATAGGGCAGATGGCGGCGTAAGGGCCGAGGACGGAGGCGATAGTTTGTTTGGTGGAGTTTAGGCAATTAGGGTTTTCTAGACGAGGGGCTGAGGCGTGTGACGAAATGAGATTGAGGGAATTGAGGATATTTATATTTTTGTAATTTATTATTTTTTTATATAATTGGCGGGCTAGCCCGCCCCGCTCCGCTTTGGCCCGCGGCCAGCGCAGGCTGGCCCGTTTAGGCCCGCTCCCCAGCAGGCCTAAAAAATCTCCGCCCAACCCGCCCTTTTGCGGTGCGGGACGGGCCGGCCCGCGGCCAGCAGGCCAAATTGACAGCTCTAGACTAAATGAACACCTTAATTAGTGGATCCAAACCACAATTTTATCTTTGTGGTTGTGGAACAACCTAACCGGTTGCTCATCGAGCAAGCAAAAGTTTGATTGTATGACTTGTTGAAGGAAATAATAATTGGACTCGGGGAAGATCCGACATTATAATCATCATCGTCATCATCATCATCAACAGTCAGCGCCGACTTTCCATGAAAACTTTGTTGAATGGGCTTCATCATTTAATCCCTACAAAAATGCTAGGATTGCAAGAAATAAGGGGACTGGATATGATGAACTCGACAAATTTTTTTACGTCGGATCTCAGACTTACAATTACCAGATCACCAGTTTCGCCACTCACATTCGATGTCTTGGATTGGTGGTTAAAAATGAAGACAACTTTGTTCATGCATGATGGCCAAGGAGATTTTTATAGTTTCGACCTCAACTATGGCGGTTGAATAAGCATTTAGCGAGTGAGAATATACTATAGACGAATGGCAGTCGGGGTTGACACCATAAAACTTAGATGATCAATTGCTGCTGGGTGATTGGAAGAAGCCGAAAAAAGGGCACAAACGGCCACGCTAACAGAAGACGATGATGAAAAGTCAGATGATTTTACTAGTACTAGTGGAACCAGCTCAACAACAAAACGACGAGTACGGCTACGCCTACGATTACTAGATCGTTCAACGCATTATGCCATCTTTTTTCATCAAGGTATGTAAGGTAAGCAAACTAAGAAGACCTTTATTACCAAGGTAAAGGATACGTAAGAAACTTAATTGATATATTACAAGTTAAAATATTATTTTTTTAACCAAAACTATTTCAACCTAATAGATATTTTAACTCGTCGGTTGAACCCACATCCATGTCCTCGATGATCGTGGGGGCAACGACAGAAATGAGTTGCGGACAAGAGGTAGATTAACCACAATTTCACAGTTTCCAAATGATTGTTTAATGGTGATATTAATCTACATGGGCAAGCTTTAGTGCAACATAGTGAGCTNTAGTATATATATTTTAATTATGTTAACTTTTTGTGAGCTCCACTACAATTAAAAAAGATAAAGCAAATTTCTTTTCTCTCACTCCCAGCAAATATTTCGTACTCAGTTTACATTGCATTCTTCTTTTTATAGTTTACTTTCTCTCGCAGACACAGCAAAACTGAGGCGATTATAGGAAAAAAAAAGATAAAAAAAATATAAAGTGGTTTGAACTTCTACTTCCGTGGTTGCCAATTTTCATTTCAAAAGGTATGTTTTATTTAATTATTTCTTAATATTTATAACCCTAAATTTATATTTGTGAGTTTTCAAAATTGATGTAATTTTTAATTTAGGGCTTTCATGATTTTGATAAAATAGCATCTTAAAAGTTATTTCTTATTTGTTGTCATTTTTTTTAGTTCTCTTATGAATTACATTGTGCCCCCTACTTTTAAATGTCTGCGTCCGCCCCTGCGCACGTGAGGCTTTCCCTCAAATCATTTTACATCAGCCTCGGGCACGATGGAAAGAGGTAGGTCACCAACTGTTGGGGGTCTTTATTGATGGTGAGCTTCAGTAGCAGTTGGATCTAGCTAGGGACTGCAGGAGCGGGAGGAGGTCGGGCCCTCTTTCTTGATTCAGTCTGCTATGGTTTGATTGTGTGCCAGGTCACTGGCTTATTGGACTGCTTGGACGTGGGTTTAGGTCTGGTTAAAGAGGACAGGTCGTTGAGCCCTTTCTTTCCGTGAGAGCTCGTGGTTGAGACCGTGCGACTTATTATCATATCTGGAAAAGAAACAAAGTTTGAGAACTCATCTGTAGCGGCTAGGACACAAATTATGAGGTTAGCAGGGTTAGTACATAGGTAGCCGGCGAGGGGTGTATCTACTAAGGTTAACCCCACGTGACATCGGAGACTTGCATCGACAGTGAGCTTACTTGTGTCAAAGGGAACCTAGTTCCACTCCTCAAGAATATGGTCCAGTGGGGGTTGGCCTTGGGTTTTTTTATCTAGCCCAAAAGGTCGCTAACCCACTCGAGGTGGAACTCAGCTCGCCGGGTGGAGTTCAGATGAAAACAAAAAAAATAGGTTTTCCAGAACGAAATGTTAGAAGAGAGGTCATTTAGGATGGCGGTTCCCTTGCGAGCTCTGAGATAATGCGACCCCTATTTCTACACTTAAATGTCATATTATAAAATACCAATTCAAATTAAGTATAATATGTCATAATATAATTATTACTGCAATTAATAAAATAATTATAAATTATTGTGTAACGTGGCCTAACCGTTTGGCGGATCTACCCGTCATACTTTTTGAACAAAAATTCATATTGTTGATAAAATATCATACTTTGTGTATTTTATTTTTTTATAATGTGACATTTAAATTTAAAAATATAAACATTTATTAAAAAATTTATGGTGTCTAAGTATTAAATCTGTCTAAAACAGTCAATCATCAAATAATATAAATGAACTATTAAATGTATCAGGTCTGGTCACTACTAACCCTCCACAGGACCACTAATGATATCCTTAGTTTTTTTTTAATCAGTCACTCTTCTAAATCGTCGGCACACTCGCCGGGCATGTTTCAATTTCCCAACAAACAAAAGTAAAAGTCCCTAAAATATTTCCAAAATAAAAAAAGAAAAGAAACAGCCCACGTTATCCCGTGTCGGTTAGCATTACTCACGCTACTCATCACACTCTCAGCACACTTCTTCCCCCAATTACAATTTACATATGCCTTTACTTCTCGCACAAAATTTTCTCCATTTTCACGCCTAACCTGTATAATGGTTCCTTCTTCCTCGCCGGAGAACCTGAAAAAACCTCCGCCCAGAAACACCAATCCCCTCCGTAACGCCCTCACCGCCGTCAAGATCCACGTCACCTCCCACCCCAGATTCTGGCTCTTCATCGCCTTCCTCTGGCTCCAGGCCCTCATCATCTCCGTCGCCCGCACCCCGCCGCCGTGCTTCCCCGACCGCTCCGCCCCCGTCCCCGCCGCCTTCCACCGGGATCTGGTCCTCCCCGGCTGCACCGACCTCGACCCCTGGAACTGGGAGTGCGGCATCATCTCCAACCACGGCTACGGCCGCGCCGCCGCCGAGCTCCGCCGCATCCTCCCCGGCGACCTCCACAGATCCTGGTACCACACCAACCAGTTCACCTCCGAGGTCATCTTCCACCACCGCGTCCTCCGCCACAGGTGCCGCTCCCCGTCGCCGGATTCCGCCACGGCGTTCTACATCCCTTTCTACGCCGGCCTCGCCGTCGGTAAGCACCTCTGGTCCAACGACACCTCCCGCCGCGACCGCCACTGCAAGATGATGCTCCGGTGGGTCCGGAACCAGATCTACTGGAAAAAATCCAACGGCTCCGACCACTTCATGTCAATCGGCCGAATCACTTGGGACTTCCGGCGGCTGACCGACCCAGGCAGGTCGTGGGGCTCCAGCTTCCTCAATATGCCATTGATGCAAAAAGTCACGCGCCTCATCGTGGAGAAATACCCTGGAGACGAGATGGACGTCACTGTACCCTACCCCACAGGATTCCACCCCAAGACAAAAAACCAACTCACCGAGTGGCAGAATTTCATCCGGGCCTGCAATCGGCCCAGCCTTTTCACCTTTATCAAGGAAACAAATGGCAAGTGGGCCCAAAATGATTTCCGGGCCCAACTAATGGGCTACTGCAAGAACGAGCCCAGCTTGTGTCAGGCCGTTGACTGCGCTTTGACTGAGTGCCCGACTAACTCCTCAGTGATTTTAAGTGCACTTTTGGGTTCTCAATTCTGTTTACAGCCGAAAATGGAAAGTTTTACGAGTCGCGCAGTTTTCGATTGTATGGTATCTGGTTCGGTTCCTGTTTTTTTCACAAAGACTTCTTATGAAGAGTATGATTGGTTTTTGCCGAGTGATTCGGATAGCTTCTCGGTTTTTATAGATGAGGAAGGGGTTAAGAATTGCACGGTGTCTGTAAAGAAAGTTTTGTTGGGCTATAGCAAAGAGGAGATTCGAAAGAAGAGGGAAAAAGTGGTGGAGATTATACCGAGGATAATTTACAAGAAGCCGAATGGGGATATCAAGAGTTTTAAGGATGCTTTTGATATTGCTCTTGATGGGGTATTGGAGAGGATTAAGGAGGAAAAAGAATGGGCAGATTTCTTATGATGAGAAATGCGAATGTTTTGTCGATAGGATGATGTTCGAGTGAGGAATTCTCGTGGAAATTCATTGGTTTTTGATCGAGAATTTGTCTAGAAAAGTGGGGGAGGAGATGTTTTGTTTTCACTTTGTATGTAGAACATGTTAGGCTTTGATTGTAATCTCGTTTGAGCATAGCAAAGATTTGATTGTAATCTTGTTTTTCAAAACATAGCAAAAACAATTTATTTATCAAAATCCATCTGCTATGCATCTTTTTCTTTCTACCATTGGCTATATTTTTTTTTTTTGTTTATTTCATGAAATCAAAGTTCTCACAGCATTCTTCCTAGATCTGTCCAAAGTTAGAAAGCAACTTCTAAAAATAAATTTGGGTAAGAACAGAAAAAATGTCAAAACACGACAACATGTGTATAGAGAATTTTAATTCCCTGACATTTCTGGGCGAGAAGGCCACAGCCAACAGAGAAATATATGCTAACAGTGAGCAATAGCTGCAATTGTTCAAGAATTAAACAGAACTGTAACAAGATCGCACACTTACATAAATAAACCAAACATGCCCAAAAAAAGCAACCAACGTAAACAACATATGAACCTGTAACCGATGAATCCTCCACCATCAACAAAATTCCTAGTGGTGGATTTCCAAAATTAAAAAGGTTGGATTATTCCAAGTTTGTTGCTATAACCCACTAAATCTATTCCATCAATATGTTGATATAATAATTAACTAATTAATTCCTATAATAATTGCCAAATTCCCAAATCTGGTGAATCATAAACTCATCCAAATTCATTGTTGGCGCCATTCACCACTGTTTATTGAAGTTTTCCATAATTTATTTTCCACTAGAGCCTATTTATGGAGGGCCCATTGTTAGTCAAACTAAGTTGAGAACATGTGAAGTAACATTAAAAATAACAAATCAAGGCAAAAAATAGAAAAATAAACAAACGCAACAGCCCATAATTGATTAGCGTAAGCCACAATGTACAACGTTTTTGCTTCCAATTTTCAAAAACAGACGAATTTAGGAAGTGCAGTCTATTGTTTCTTGTTCCAATTGTCAGAGACAAGCACCCTTGATAACAGGCTCAAAAACTGAACTTCTACTTTTTGCATGATTTAATGCTAAAATTCTATCTCTGTGTGTACATATATCCCAGTTCTTAAAGCACTCGTCTCCTAAGCTAGACATACATAGTTACATACATACCAAAATTGATGATCATGGCAGCTCTTAAATACTTTGTTCCTGTTTATATTTTCTTCTTCATCATATTATGCTATATTGCGATGGAAGTGAAGGGAAACCGGCCATTTTATCAAAACCTGGATTTGCGCTCGGAATTTGTTTTTTCGACCAGACGAGCATATTCAGGTCCGAGCAACCGTGGAGCAGGTCACTGATGACAGAATATAGTTAATAGCTTTTTTTTTTTTTTTTTTTGGGTCTANTTTTTTTTTTTGGGTCTATTCCTTTTGGAGCTTGCTTTTTGCAATGGCCTACCATAAGTCTATTATTTTTTGTTCTATTAAACAATATTATTTGAAGGGCTAATCCTCACAATGTACTCTCTGAGCAATTTTGAAGAACTGGGCTCGAATTTTTCAGTAATTAATCATATTCAATTGGTTTGCTATTTGTTTTGTAAACCAACTCTATGATAGTTTTTTTCATCTCAATTCTTTTAGAACTCTGGAGTTCATCCCCTGTTCGAAAAATTTTCAAATCGTTATTCCATAGTTGGAAAAAGTGTAATAAATTTGAAGTGTAAGGACACTCAACTAGTTTCCACGAATTACAAAAAACGTAAGATGGTGGATTTTTACGGTGACTCGGGACACTATTCATGATATTACAGCAGGCATACATAAAATATAGGTTAGAATTAGATCAGCAGCTCATTTTATAAGAAATGTCTGTATGTAGAATGTAAAATCTTATATGCTTAATTTTTATGTTCCTTATGCCTTTTCAACTTCTGACCAATTTTGTTCGATTCATATGGATATTGTTCATTTAGAAAATTGGATTTGCTTAAATTGGATTCATATGGATATTGTTAATCCGATGGCTTCATAGCAAAACTGTAACTATTAACTATAGATGAAGTGTTGTGCTGGGATTGTGAAATTTCGTCATCCAGATCACAAATGGTTAAAGGAAAATATAAATTCAGCACTGGCGGCTCGAGATCATATAATACGAAAAATAATTCAACAATTGTTAATTAGCTGATTGACCTCTGGCGGCTTGAATAATAAATAAATAAAATCACAATAAATCTTTGTTAGCCTCCTCATCAAGCTTGTATAAGACCACTTTATTCTTTCCCAAGCCATCACAAAACCGTAANACCATTTTCTACACCTCACTTGCTCTGTTTCTCGTCTTCCTCATAATCTTCAACAATAAATTCTTCTCAAAGCTAAGAAAAATCCACCGCCTGCCCCCTTCCCCAGCTCTGGCAATCCCGCTCCTCGGCCACCTCCACCTCCTCAAACGGCCCCTCCACCGCACCTTCCACCACTTCTCCCAAAAACACGGCCCCATCTTCTCCCTCCGCCTTGGCTCCCGCCGCATGGTGGTGGTCTCCTCCGCGGCCCTGGCGGCCGACTGCTCCTCCGGCGCCAACGACATCATCCTCTGCAACCGTCCCCACGTCCTCGTGGGCCACCACATAGGCTACCGCCACTCCACCATGTCCGACGCACCCTACGGCCTCCGCTGGCGGAACCTCCGCCGGATGGCCTCCGAGGAGGTACTCTCCCCCGCCCGACTCAACGCCTTCTCCAAAATCAGAGAGGACGAAATCAGGAGAATCGCCCAAACCCTAATTCGCGGCCGGGACAGACGGTACACAAAAGTGGATCTGAGGCCGATTGTTTTCGAATTCATCTTCAATTCCGTGACCAGGATGCTCGCCGGCAAGCGGTACAGCAGCAGAAGCAGCGACCAGGACGAGAAGGAGAAGGAGAGTTTGGGGGAGAGATTTCGCGAGATGGTGAGCGAGGTTCTCGAGCACGCTCAATCGGCAAATCCAGAGGATTTTATCCCTTTCTTGAGGTGGATTGACTACAGAGGACTGGAGAAGAAAATGGCTAGCCTCGCCCAAAAACTCGACGATTTTTACACGGGATTGCTGGAAGAGCACCGTCGTGATGCGAAGAAGAACGCGAGCAGCGTTATCGGGCATTTATTGTCTCTGCAAAAATCCGACCCGGAATTCTACACGGATCAAATCATTAAGGGCTTTATAACCGTAAGAATAGTAGTTTTTACTTTTTACTTCATCATTTTTATCTTATATTATATCTTCTTTGCTCTAATTGTATTGTTTTTCCCATTATATCTTAGAACATTATGATTGCTGGCACAGAGTCATCTGCCGGGACTATAGAATGGGCCATGTCCCTCTTGCTCAACCATCCACAACTACTCAGAAAGGCCCAATTAGAACTGGACTCGCGTGTCGGGCCCAATCGTCTGTTGGAAGAACAGGACCTGCCTCATCTCCCTTATCTTGCTAACATTATTCTAGAGACGTTGCGAATGTTTCCAGCTGGACCCCTAATGGTCCCTAGGGAATCTTCCGCGGACTGTAAGGTCGGGGGCTATGATGTCCCGCGTGGATCGATACTATTGGTCAACGCATGGGCCATCCAGAGGGACTCGGATGTTTGGGCCGAGCCCATGAGGTTCAAGCCCGAGAGGTATGATGATGTGGATGTGCAAAAGTTGATGGCGTTTGGAATGGGGAGGAGGGCTTGCCCGGGGGCTGGGCTGGCCCAGAGGATGGTGGGCTTGGGCTTGGGGGTGCTTGTTCAGTGTTTTGATTGGGAGAGAGTGGGTAAGGAGGAAGTGGATTTAGGTGAAGGAGGTGGGCTCACGATGCTTAAGCTGGAGCCGCTCGAGGCTATGTGCAGGCCGAGAGACGCTATGTTAAAAGTTCTTCAACAATGAACGAATTGGTGCAATGGTGTATAGTAATTAAATGGTAAAAAGGTTCGTTTACCTGAGATTATTAAGTATTGTGCGCCGTAAGAATGAAGTACACGATCAACAAAATTTGCCAGTGATAACTAGAGCTATATCTGTTGTATTTCAATATAGAGTATTTTTTTGGCACTGGTTTTATAGACGAGAAGAAAATTGTTTAAAATCAAAGATACAATCACAAATGAAAACAAATGCTCCGACGGTCATGGTGTATAAATATCATAATGAAATTGATGACATCACAGGAAATGAAAACTTGTAATAATTTAACATTCTAGTTTTATATTAAAAATAAATACAAAACATTATACCTTCTAAAGATTTTGGGTAAGGCTACAATCCCGTTACGGAACCATTCCGTTGGGATTTGTAACCGTTAGATCAAGCATCATTGACGGTTACTTGATGATCTAACGGTTACAATCCCAACAGAATGGTTCCGTAACGGGATTGTAGCATTTTCCAAAGATTTTTTTATTAAGTTATAATAACATGTGTATCAGTACATGGACATATAAATGAGACTGAACCGAACTTGAGTTTCTAATACTGATCTCGAGTCTTTATGGAATCGAGTTGCTAATTAATGGCTCGTTTGTCAATGTTAATAAAGTTCAATCTCTATTATAGTATTAACTAACTGGGTTATGATAAAAAAAAAAATAAAAATAAAAAATAAAAAAATTACTATTATCTATATATATATAATTGCTAGCTAACTTCATTTAATAAAACATTTAATAAAAACATTTTCATTTTCCCCTCCAAAAGAAGTTACATTTTTTTAATTAATTACTCATTAATCTCACATTTAAGAAAGTTTCTTTTAGTTAAACTTAATTAGTTAATGACTAAATTAAAAAAATTTCTTTTAGTTAATCTCACATTTATGTTTCTTATTCTCATTTATATATATAAACGTGACAGTCATTATTGTTGTGCAGAAACTATATATTATTATTTTTTATTTCATTATGAATTGAATAAGCAATTAAAGTTATAAGAAATATTAATAAATGTATTAATTACAAACATTATAATACATATCATGTTACATTACAATATAAAAAATGAAATTATTTTTTTTGTAATTTAATTTCCAGCCATACTCAATCAAATATATAACTACAAAATGATAAGAAAGATTAGTTTCATAATTAAAATTAAAAATTTAGCTCCCCAAATGGTAAAACCTTATAAATTAGTAGTATAGATACATTTAAATGACATATAATTTATAAACTTAGACTATACGCATAATAAGATGAATTATGAATTAAATAAATAAATTATTATTATAACACAGTCTATATAATTATTATAGCAAAGTCTATATTGTCAATATTATCATTTAAAAAGTTCATTGAAAAAACATATGTATAAAAAAAATCCATATGATCATAATTAATAGTGCAAAATTAACATTCTTTGACTTTCTATTTGGTAGTAATAATAAAATATTTTATATTACTACTATTCAATAAAATGCATGATTTCTGCATATTTGATTATCGCAATCAACATTCTTTTTTTATAAATTAAAAAGTGTCTTGAATCAATTGTCTCATATTTTTCATTAAAACAAAATAACTGTTGGCCGTGAAAAAAAACATTATTTCACAATTATAAATATAAAAATGATTAATTTTCATTAAACAATTCCTCTTTAAGAAAAAAGTGGCGGGACAAATTTCTGCATGATTATAGCATCAAAACATATCTAAAACATCAATATTTTAATGCATTAAAAACATACTTTCAGCAACAGAAAAGTCATATTAAACGGAAATTGGCAAAGTCAAAGAATGAGAATTGACAAGGCATTGTATGTAATGGCAGATTGTTGCATAATATAGAAATATCAACCATAATTAATAATCAACAAAAAAAAGTCAAATCTATATGAAAAAATCAAAATTAAAAACACAGCAAATTATGTGGAACATTATTGAACACTATACAATATAGAAAGAAAAATAATTTGATTTCTCTATCATTATCAACATATTCAACTTTTACCAAGACATCTGCCTTTATATTAAAATCGATTTTTTTGCGTAAAAGTTTTAAAAATAAAAATTCCTACAGATTCTTTTAAACATTAAACAAGAAATTCCTAATATGCGATAAATATATCTAAACAGATTTGTTATAAACTTACCTAATATTTCCAAATTTTGAACAAAATACTAAAAAATTTGAAAAACTTCGGCAAAAGACTTTGAATAACTTCGAAAAGCGATTTTGAACAAGTGTTAGCAAAGCTTCACTTACTGATATGATGAGAAAGACGACAAAGAATTGAACTATTTAGTTTTCAAAATCTGAACAAAATACATAAAAGTTACATATGTATGTTATAAAAAGATATGAACAGATATGTTATAAACTTACATATATATTTGTTAGTAGAGCTGAACATATCTGTTAGAAACTTACATATTTTTTCAAACCCTGAACAAAATACATAAAAGTTTGAAAAAGTTCGACCAATGTCATGTTCTCTTCGAAAAACGATTTTGAAAAACATCTAAATAATTTCGAATTATGTATAAAATATAATATATCTTGAAGCTTATTCACAAAGAATTTCGAAAAACGACACAGATCATTGAAAATAATAAAAAATAAAAACTACGTTTAACAAAAAATATTTCAGCTCATCATAGATTTGTAATATTATCGCCCGATTTTGACCAACCTGTTAAGATTTAGCAACACAGATTAAGAAATCGGGACGAATATTTTATTTTTTGATCACTACTGTTGGTCACAAAAACAACATTTCTCGGATGTCTTTTTTTTTTTTAATTTTTTAAGCCTTTACCGGGAGAAAATCTCCGGTAAAACAGTTGTTTTGTATTGAATCTCGCCGAGTTTGTCGTAATATCGGGTTAAGGATTAGGGTTTCAGACAGAGTGAATAACGAGAGAAGTACCGACATCAAACAAAAAAAAAAACGGCTTACATCACTTTCAAGGAGTTTATCTCTATTTATAGTCATGTTATCACTGACCTATTTTATATTTGATTTTGGCTACCCTAAAAAATTAAGTGGACTTCTAATTTGGGCTTTTTTTATCATTCAATCAATATATTTCTTTATGGCCCAAAAATTGTCATTTTGTTCAAATGTCTTAAATATTTGGCACATATCATTATTTATCAACCAAATACAATTATTTATTTTGTAATATTTTGCTGGTATTTTGTTAGTATTTTTTTTTAAAAAATTTCCTATATGATCTATAGTACAAAATACAATAATTATTTAAACAATTAAAACCATTATATGTCTTGAAGATATGATTTGTAGTGATGAAAATTCTGTTGATAGAAAAACCACAAACGTTGTATATAAAAAATTGTTTAACAATATTTAGTTATTATTTCTTAGAACATTTTTTCAATGATTATATTATGATTTTTACTATTATTTATATATTTTTATTATTTTTTGTTCTATTATATTGTTTTCCGTGCAAATGCACAGGTTAAAAACTAGTCAAGCATTAACTAGCCGAGTAAAGCTTACAAAGGATTTGTGTTATAGCCTATAGGTCTAGGAACGCAATAGTAATTTGTGGAACATTACATTTTCTTTATTTACACTTCTTATGGCTTATAATTACCTGTATTTTTGAAATATAAACAAATGAATAATCCTTCAAAAAGGGGGAAAAAAGGATAACAAAAATGTAAAATAAAAAAGAAAATCAAATGAGCACATGGTGTGATGAAAATAGTACAATTATGACCCCATCCAAGTACTCGCAGTCCACCAGTCTTCTTTCTTTTTGGCTGAAGAAGAATAACCGTCACTATAATAATTTCGTGAGCCTCACCTCACTTACTTTTCTTCAACCCATCAATGGCGTGAGCCCCAAATCGCTTCTCAGTTTCCTTCAACCATGGAAGCTCTCCGTCTCGTCACGATTGCTAACCTCCCCTCAAACCGCAAACCCACAAAATTCAAGCTGAAAATCAGTCAGACAAATTTCCGATTCTCCCCAAAACCCCTACACCCGTTCTCCCTGCAACCAATCCTCCGTTTGCCCATCGTTAAATGCTCTGTCAAAGCCCACCTGGACCACCACCACGACCATGGTCACGAGCACCACCATGATCACCGCCATCATTGCCATGGCCACCATGATTGCGATACTCCGTTGACCAAATCTCAGAAAGCTTTTCTCACCTTTGCGCAGGTTGTACGGTGGCCTGAGCTAGCCGGCTTCCTGAGAGAGCATCTGGAGCTATGCTGCTGCGCGGCTGCGCTCTTTCTAGCCGCCGCCGTTTGCCCGTACTTTCTGCCCAAGCCGGCAGTCAAGCCTTTCCAGCAGGCTTTCACTCTCGTCGCCTTTCCCTTAGTTGGGGTAATTGGCAAAATTTTGAGCTTCTGAGACTTTGATCTTTTCCCTTTTAGTGTGAATTTTCTTTTATGTACAGATTTCGGCGGCTTATGATGCTGCCATGGATATTATGGGTGGCAAAATCAACATTCACGTGCTTATGGCTCTGGCGGCATTTGCGTCCTTGTTTATGGGGAATGCTCTGGAAGGTGGATTGCTTTTGGCCATGTTCAATCTGGCTCATATTGCGGAGGAGTATTTTACGAGGAAGTCCAAGATTGATGTCAAAGAACTGAAAGAGAACTATCCTGAATTTGCTCTTGTTCTGGATGCGGAGAATGAGAACACTCCTAGTTTTTCAGAATTGATGTACCATAAAGTCCCTGTGAACGATTTGACAGTTGGATCGTACATATTGGTGAAAGCTGGTGAGGTCCGTGGTTTAACAATTTTGATTTTTCATTGTCTATTTGTTACCATTGGATGTGTGTAATGATGTCTTCCCATGCACAATGTTGTTTTTCACTATAGTTACTTATCACTACGAATCTGGTTGATCAACTCGATATATATGTGTTCCTGTGAGCTATGAAGTGTATAACTGTCATTGACCAAATTTGGAACTACAAATGTGAGCTATCATAGAATACCCCCTATTGAAAACTAGTGAATAGCGAAAACCCTTAGACCATTCCCAATTAGTTGTCAGAAGATGTTTTGCCTTTGAGTTTTCTATAGTTTTTCAGTGGTAAAAAGATGGTGGTTTTCAGGGTTTGAAATGCATTTCTGGTCGATACTTTTTAGGAGCTGGTATGTAAGCATGCTCATGGATGACATTGAACTCTCCATTGCCTTCCTTTACTCTATATAGAATTAACTGTATTAAAATTAGTCTCTTGCTTCATGGTCGTTGTATATTAAACTCTGTAGTTTTGTCTCTTGAACATGTTTAATTTGATGCTTAAAAACTGACCTGTCCAGTATATGAGAGAGCATATTGACTAATATTCAATAATGTTGAGTATCTGGTTTCATCTGTAACCAAAAAGTACTCCATCATGGATACTTACTAAATTGTTATCAAGTGGTCATAATCTTTTTCTGTTTAACCTAAGATCCATTCAAGCTTAACAACATTTCTCCTTTACGTCAACGTTTTAGTCACACTTTTAAGGTGTTGTGGTTTGAATTACAGGCTAGCTGAAGATCTTTGTATTGATGCAAATGAGTGCTGATGTTTCTTATTCCCAACAAAAACTATCTCCATTTTCTCAACCTTATATATCTTTATTTGTTTGGCGCTTGTGAAGAAACTCTACATTAACATTTCCGTGTTTGTTATTCTACCAAGTGTAGGGTGCTTTTGTCCAGGACATAAAATATTACTAAGTGCATTGAGAGTTGAGACTGTGGAGATGCTGTCTTCTTTCATGAAGAATGCCAGCCTTTTTCCAATGTTTTCTATGCATGTCCTTTGGACTTCAGTTATCAATCTATCAAGTGTTGAACTGTTCCTTCTGGCTTAGTTTTATAACCATGAGCTATAAGTCTTACAGAAGACTAAGATCGTCTATACCTTGTGAAATCTAGTATCTTATAATTTTCGTGGAAGTGTTTGGTTTTTGGTCAGGCAGTAGACTTCTGGTTTATATTTGTTTGAATTGCCTTTCTTAAGTTCTTCTGTATCTATTATTTATGTGTGAAGTTGTTTGAAACCATCTTAATGCTAATTTTCACCATTTGCAGTCGGTGCCAGTGGATTGTGATGTAGTCCAAGGCAGATCAACTGTTACTATAGAGCATTTGACTGGAGAGGTTAAACCTGTCGAAAAGAATGTTGGAGATAGCATTCCTGGTGGTGCTAGGAACCTGGATGGTATGATGATTGTTAAGGTATGTATACAAAATTGTTTTTCTCATAGCATCTGTTTTAGTATCTCAGTGAAGTTTTTAGATATCGCTGAAAACATAAGTAAAGACAAATGTGCATGTTTTTTATTTATTTATTCCTTTTTCCTCCAACTCTTCAAAGTGTTCATTCGATTAATATCCTCCCCGAAGTATCCAGTAACCTTCTTTTGAAGTTTCTGTTGCATCACTTGACCGGAATATTTATGACATAATATGTTCAAGAGTATTGAGTCATTTTTAATAGTTTCTGTCTCGATGATTAAGCGGTCATTAACCGAAGAGAACATTGTTATGTTTATTAATAATATTACAGAATTTTGGAGTTGGGGATCATAATAAAACATGTGCAGGATTTATGTGATGTTAGTTTCAGGTTCTTTTTCTCGTTATTTTGGAATATTAGCAAAGAGGTCTTGTTGGGATAGTTTGATTGAAAGATGATAAGTATATGTTATATTGTTCTAGGACTGAATTACTAAGAAAATTTAAATTTTTGGATTCCCATCAACCATTCTTAAGGCAGAAGTTCAATATAGGCAAAAAAGACATGGAAGGAATCTATGCTGAGTAGAATTGTGCAATTAACTGAAGAGGCTCAGCAGAGTAAACCAAAGCTCCAAAGATGGCTAGATAAGTTTGGTGAGCAGTACAGCAGAGCAGTTATAATTTTATCTGCTGCCATTGCATTGATGGGGCCAGTTCTCTTTAAGTGGCCTTTCTTCAGTACACCAGGTATACTACAGCGTCATTTTTTTGTTCTTATTTTTCGTTCTTGGTTATGACGGAACTATTCCTACAAATTTCATCGTGTCAACAACATAAACTTCCACCAGTAAGTGGACAGCAACAGAAAAATAGGAAGGCGAATGTAGAAATAATAAACCTTAGAAAAAGAAAGCCTGAGAAAGAGCCATATATCTGGTAATATATGCTTAAGCTTAATCATCACATATCCTCGGACTTGAAGCCATGACCTTTTACTTGTATTTTATCTGTATGTGCATGCAAGCTTCTGTTCTTGTGGGTACTTGTGGTGGCTATCAATGACCCTGTGATATAATAATTTGTTTTAGTTCTCTAGTTTGCAGAGGATCAGTTTATCGGGCATTGGGACTTATGGTAGCTGCTTCACCATGTGCACTGGCTGTGGCACCTTTGACATATGCAACCGCAATTAGTGCTTGTGCAAGAAAGGTATTTGTCAATCCATTGTAATGTGTAACGCTCACCAGTCCAATTTATAACTGCCCTAGATTTTCATGGGTCACATCCTCTTTCGTAAAATTGATTGAAATTAGAGTGGAACTGTGGTAGTAGCCTAGTTGTAGACTTGTAGTACTTGATACAAACCCAGCAGTTATAAAAGAGCTGCTATATTAACGAGCATAATATACATTACTGTGTCAAATATTATTTTGCTCCATTCAAACCCAACAGGTGTGACATTGTTTCTTTGGATGAGTCACGTAGGAATTTAAATCGACAATTTGTAACTGCAGATATCTTGCATTTATCTTAAAGAAGATTTTTTAAGCACTGTGATGTGAGACTTAGATGTGTGTGATCAAAAAATTTATTTCTAAAATTTGAATAAACAAAACTGAGTATTTTACATAACCATGTGCTAGCTGCCTTGAAGAACATCATTGACATTTACCTTTTCAACAGGGGATCTTGCTTAAGGGAGGTCATGTCCTAGATGCACTAGCTTCATGCCATAATATTGCGTTCGATAAAACAGGGACATTAACTACTGGTGAATTTATGTGCAAAGCAATTGAACCAATACATGGACATAATAGCAACAAAGAGAAACAAATTGCTACTTGTTGTGTACCTAGCTGTGAGAAAGAAGCTCTTGCTGTGGCTGCAGCTATGGAGAAGGGGACTACTCACCCTATTGGAAGGTTACTTAACTTTACTGCATTTCAGTCATTATATGCTGGTGTGGTGATTGTGATATGGCCTTTTTCTCAAGTATTTTATTTAGTCTTACTGATTGTGGGCTAGTCTCATAGTGGAGGCTGATGACGTGATTTAGCGGAAGCACTTAAAGATGCCTGAGCAGAAAAAATACTTTCGTTAAAGAAAATATTTATGGCATGGTTCATGAGAAACAATCTAGATTTGGTATGAACCAGATATGAGGTTGACGTGACTGGAGTTCTGATGATGCGGATTGCGGATAAGAGCCTGCTTATATTCGACTTGAATCTTGGATTATGAAACTGACCCTTATTTTTGTTTAAAACTGAAAATGAATGAGCATTTGAATATAAATATAACATAAATTGTTCGTTTATTCTACAGGGCTGTTGTGGACCATAGTGTTGGGAAGGATCTCCCTCCAGTTTCTGTTAAGAGTTTTGAGAATCTTCCTGGCAGAGGTCTTCTCGCAACAATATCTAGCATTGAGGTACTACTTAAAGTTTGAGGATATTTTTTCCCCAAAGTTTACTAGTAATAAATTTGTTAAGCCCCCACCCACTTGAGCCCGTTTGGTTTTAAAATGCAGTGAATAAACAGCAACCAGACCTCAATGTGTAGCCTTTCGCTTAATCTAGTGTAAAGCAGATTTATGCTGTAATTGCTATTGACCTTGCTGCTGTTTCTGAATCTTTTTGCTCATTAAAGAAAGGTTACTACTTGGATAGAAAATGGTGTGTAACTTGATTAAGTCAGCTAAATGAACTTAGCACTACTCTGAGTCTGACATGGGTGGGAAGTTCTTTTAATTCTGGTACACCTCATTATACATAGGATCTAATGAATTAAATTTGTGATCATTCGGTCTGCAATAGCCAGGGTTTGGAGGCGGTAGACCATTGACAGCTTCAATTGGTTCTGTGGAGTACATCACTTCTCTTTTTATGTCTGATGATGAATCAAAAAAGATCAAACAGGCAATTAGCTCTTCGTCTTATGGAGATGACTTTGTTCGTGCAGCTCTTTCTGTCAATAATGAGAAGGTGATTCTTTTCAAGTCTTTTGTGAAACCAATTGAAAGGTTTAAAACTTCAAAGCAGTTTTGAAAAATTATACCTCTTCATGATAGATTACTATCATTGCTTACATGTTCTTCTCCTGCGGTGTGTAACAAGAAAGAGTATAGCATATAGGCTTTAGGAAATTTGAATGAAATGGCTTTTTTATTATTTGAAGAAACTCAGCCAAGCTTTATGAAACTGCACCAGGAAAAAATAGTTTTTCTTATTTATACAAAGAAATTAAAGGCAAACTAGACAATACGGCTTCTATAACCGGTGACCAGGTGATAGCATGAACAAGAATTGTAAAGTTAGGGCGTGGATTCTCGGAAACTTGGTTGAAAATGGCTGTTCTACACGAAGCATGCACCACATTGTTTTAATTTTGTTGGACATTAAAAATATCAAAACCGGAAGTGAAAATTAACGGACACCTCTCATCCGTTTCTAATCTTCCTCATGTACAGGTGACTCTATTTCATTTTGAAGATAAGCCTCGAGCTGGTTCTTTGGATGTTATAAAGTCATTGCAAGAGCAAGGAAATTTACGTGTTATGATGCTTACCGGTGATCATGAATTAAGTGCATGGAGAGTGGCTAATGCAGTCGGCATCAAAGAAGTTCACTGCAGTCTCAAGCCGGAGGACAAACTTTATCACGTGACAAGTATTTCAAGAGATACAGGTTTTTTACACTTAGTACTATCTGTTTGCCCAAGACAGTTAATGTTAATCTATGCGGATATGTGTGTGAATGAATGAGTTGGTGAGAAAGAGTTCTTCTATTTGATATTTTACGCTCAAGGATATTGGTTTCGAAAATGCTAATATTATCAGTTAAACCATGCTGAGACACTATATACTCCTCCAAAGTATAAATTAAACATGTGATTTATCTGCTTCAGCTTTTGATTTTTCTTTTTTTTCTTTTTTCTTTTTTTTTTTTGCAGGTGGGGGCTTAATTATGGTAGGTGATGGTATTAATGATGCACCTGCCTTGGCTGCATCAACAGTGGGCATTGTTCTAGCCGAGCGTGCAAGTGCAACTGCTATAGCTGTAGCCGATATCCTTTTGCTGCAAGACAATATCTCAGGAGTTCCATTCTGTGTGGCCAAAGCTCGTCAAACAAACTCCTTGGTATGTGTATATATCTTATTTCTTTGTGGTGTGTCAACTTTGTTTTTCTAATCCCCTTTTTTCTTGTCTTGATAGTATTTTGATATTAATGTAGGTCAAGCAAAACGTGGCACTTGCTTTGTCCAGCATTGTTTTGGCCTCTCTTACGTCTGTTTTTGGGGTTTTACCACTTTGGCTAACTGTGAGTTTAATTTTTCCAGCTCTGAGATAATAATGTTTTGCCATATGCAAATACTTTATATAAAGGACACTAAAACCAAATCAATGTTTCTTAAGGAACTATGTTTCTTTCTTTCATACTTCCTTAAGATAAATTTATTCTTATGAAACTTCAGGTCAAGTTCTTAAACCAAACTGATACACACAAGTTTATCAATCCAAATTAAAACATACATGAGTGTGGATATGTTTACTAATGAAGGTTAAACTTTCTTGCAATCTTTTTGTAAATGTGCAGGTCCTTCTCCATGAAGGAGGGACGCTTATTGTTTGTCTGAATTCCATTCGTGCTTTGAATACCCCATCGTGGTCTTGGAAGCATGACCTTCTGCAACTTGTCGACAAATTACGGTCACTCGTTTTACGCTTACTGAAGCATGATGCTGATCATGACACCATACAAGCTGCACCTCTTTAATCAAACTATTTGCGTTCTTTTCGGCTAGTTTTGGCAAATGGGTTGGTGCAAATCAGACTTCTTTCTGAATTGTGAATAGATAGATCCATATTACGGTTAGGTATAACCAAAGAAGGTTAAAGTCCTTTTGACGCCGGTAATTTTTACGAGGAAGGTGCTTTTGAATGTTTCTGGTTGTGAGTTTTTTGCTTCTTGAACGAGTATCTGAGAATGGCAACCTATGATGGTAGCTCATTGTATGAAGGGGACAGATCTTTTGTGTTGGCGGTTGTTATATTGCTTTCCTTATGAAGAAGCCTCGATCTAGAGCAAAATTTGGTGTTATAATGCAAGAACCGAATCGTAGGATTAGGAATAGCCACTCGATGGATTAGATGATTAAGAGGGTGTTTGTTTATTAAAAGTTCATATCATACTCAATTCATATTTAAATTTAGCTCAATTTTAATACAATTCTACTATCCTCAATATTATCAATATGATTAAATAATATCAATCAATCATTGTAACGTCAAATTAATTTTAATTTATTATTTATCTATTTTACATAATTTTAACTACTCACCCTTTTACATCATTTCTCTCATATTTTTACGATAAATCAATTTAATTATTTTATTTTAAATACTATTTTAATATCTCACAAAAAAATTAACGAAATCAACTTATTTAAAATTAATCATAGGTAACGCATAAAAAAAAAAAGAACAGTAAAAATCTGGTTTACTTGTATCGAAACACTCCCTAAGAGTAAGCTGGTAGAGCATCATATGCTCGTATCAAGAAAGTGACAGTATGTGTATGTGTGTAATTAATAATTATCCTAATCAAAACCGAACAATGTGGTTTAAAAAGTTGGAGCAAAACAGCAGCATAAATGAAGAATCTTTAAATTAAATTCAGTTTCAAAACCATTGTGCTATGTTCTACCTCTGAAGTCTTTGTCCAACTCCTTGTAGGTACATCAATCCTTATTGATGGTGTCATTCTCAAACCATGTATTACCCAAAAAAGATTCTCCACTTAAAATACAACTTTTCAAAGCATATTAGCCAAATAAAAAATCCCCAATCGTTATTCTTTTATAATTAGAAATTTTATTAATTCAATAGAGGGTAGATTTCACCCTAATCAACTTTATTTATGATCTAGTACATGGTAGAGTTCACCATGTTGTGATTTCACCCTACTTAACTTTATTTATGATCTAGTTCATTGTAGATTTCATTTCACCATATACACAACAATAGTGCAGTAATTGAGTTTTCCACTGCCTAATCAATGCACACCATTGCGAGTATGTGTGTTAATTTAATTCAATGGTGGAAGCAAAAAATGACTATACTGCAATTGTGTGTAGGGTCGTAGAAATTCTATGGTGCCCATATGGACGCCATAGAATTTCTGGTAGGGTCGAATGAATTCATCAGTGAAAACTAGTTAAAATTGATCGAAATTGATCTTGAGTTAAAGCAAGTTATTTTGAATAAAGTTGATTGAGTGTAATGAGATAAATTGTAATTAAATAATATTTAAAACATAATGATTAAATTTGATTTGATGTAAAAGTAGAAGACATGTGATTGAAGTAATAGCTAGTGAAAAAGATGTGAGTGGATGAACAGAAAATTAAAATTGATGTAATGTATGAGAGAGATAATTGACACAGTACTATTTAATTATATTAATAATATTGATGATAGTATAACTTAATTAAATTTTAAGTTTTAAGTGAATAAAAAAAAATTGTTCCAATCAAAACTAATTTTAATCAGTTTTCACTCTTTATCAATTGTTTATCTTCATTATTTAATTTTGTCGTAGTAATATTTGAGGTTTTGCATACTCTGATCAATACATACTACTAGTGTGAGTGTAGTCTTCTAGAAATGGCCAGGTGCCGGGCCCGGCCCGGCGGGTCGGCGGGCCTCAATTGTTAGACCCGTAACCGGCCCGGCAATTCCAATGGGCCGGTTCATTTGAACCGGCCTGGCCCGGCGGTTCGTTGAACCGCCGGGTTAAAAAAAAAAAAAAAGAACTACGACCCGTCGGAAAAACCGTAATCGGTCCCGGCCCAGCCCGGTCTGCCGGGACCGGTTAATGAAAACCATTGAACCGTAACCGGACCGCTTTGGGCCCGGTCCGGTTCACGGCCCGTGTACTGTTCATGCCGGTACCGGTGCCGGTTTGGTCCGGGCCAGTACCGGTTCACGGTTCGGGCCACGGGCCAGTTCGGCCCGTGGCCATGTCTATAGTCTTCGTTTAGTTCTACTGTGGACCTATTAAGTTTAAAAAATGGCGTGCATTGCATTTGCAATGTGTGCCCCTCTATTCACTGTTCAGTAAAATCCAAAGGATAAGAATAATCAAATCTAAAGCCATTTTCGACCTGTCAACAACTAGCCAATAACTAACCTGTGCCCAACAACCAACTACGCTTTCGATTTCAACTAATAATTGCAGCCTGCACAGTCCTATTGCCCCCTTTCTCATAGTCCTTCACTTTTTCTTTTCTTTTTTTTTTTCAAAATTTTAATTAGTTCTTTTTTATTTATGCTCTCAATTCCTTAATTCGTCCTGAATAAAAACATGAGGAATTAAAATTATCTACAGAAAAGACGCGATCGAATAAATAATTTTCGTTTTTCCGCATTGGGACATTCTCATTTTTTTCTCCATTTCCTCTGTTAGAGATTGCATTTGAATTAAAGGAAAAAAAATGGAATCTTTCATCTCCCTCACATCTCTCACCAGTTTCTTCTTCCGCCATCCACATTTTCCCCCACTGTACAATACCAAATTTTATTTATCCTTTTTTGGCATTTTTTTTAATTTAATAATTAAAAAAACTCTAATCTCCAGCTAAACAAGAAACATAGCTGATTTTTCATCATCATCATCGTTTTTGCCCCCTTAAAACCCACAAAATTGAAGCAATCAGTCAATCCTGCTGAGTCCGAGCCGATTAATGGCGGCGTTTGTGAACCTTTGGTTCACATTAGCTTGCTGCACGCACATCCCCATCTGTTGCTGATTGCTATACTGCTGTTGAGAATGACTAATAAACTGCTGCTGCTCTTGGTGGTGATGATGGCGTTGCTGTTCCATCATGTAACTCCTCACCTCTGCCCGTATCATGTCCTGCATCACCGCCATCAGCTCCCTGCTGAACGGCACAAATACCTTGTCCGCCTGCTGCTCCGGCGGCGGCGGCGGCGGCGGTGCGAACCCGGAGATCGGAGGAGTTTGTGTTTGTTTCTCCGTGGCAATAGCTGGCGAGGCGGTTGCCGCCGTCGGAGGCGGTGGCGCGGTGGGGAGAACCGGCAGCAGCTGGATCGGACTCGTTTTCGGTTGAGTTGACTCGGTCGGCTCGGCACCGGGAAGGGAAAGGCTCAGGCTTGTCGCCGGTTCAGACACCGGCTCCATTAGGACGCCGCCGGTTCTCGCGACCGGTTTAAACACGGGGGAAACGAACGGCAGACTCGACTCGCTGGTGTCAGATCCGGACGGGCTGCCCGGACACAAGTGAAGGACCGAAACCGGGACGCCAGACCCGGCGCTAACGGATCTCTTCAGCGGCCGATCCGGTCCGACTAGGAAATCGTTCCCGTCGCCGTTACCCTCATCGGAGCTGAGAGAGGCGGATTTGCGCTTGAGGGTGGAGTTCCAGTGGTTCTTGATGGCGTTGTCGGTCCGGCCCGAGAGGAGCCGGGCTATTGTGGCCCACTTGTTGCCGAACCGGGCGTGGGCCCGGATGATCGTCTCGTCTTCCTCCGGCGTGAAGGCCCGGTGCTCCACCTGCGGCGAGAGCTGGTTGCACCACCGGAGGCGGCAGCTCTTGCCGGATCTGCCGGGGATGGACTTGCTGATGAGGGACCAGTTTCTCGGGCCGTGCTTCTTCACGAGCTGCTGAAGAAGTTCGTCCTCCTCCGGGCTCCACGGGCCCTTGATCCGATCCATATCCATTTTCCGGCCGCCGCTGTTTTTTCCTTCCATTTTTCTTTCGGTTTCAAAGGAACATAGATTGATAGAAACGAGAAGTGATATTTGATTTTTTGGGAAAAATTATTTTAAATTTTGGATATTTTTCTGCAGTTTTTTGTTCTCTCTGTGGCTATGGAGAATGAAGGGTTTTATATATAAGAGAGATGAGAAAGAAGGNAAAAAAGCAGAAAGCGGTTGAGTAATTTTGGGATACAGCTGGCTAACAGACACGCGTCACATCACGGCTCTGTTTACACATACGCTTTCATAAATGGTAGTAATAGATTTCAGTCTTCACTCACTTTTGACTCGCGTAGGCGTCACACTCCGTCTCAGTGTGTTGACTATTTTGCCCCTTGCTCCAACTTTTTCCTTTTATGGAAAATGGAGTTATGGAACGGAACCCATTTAATCAGCCTAATCTCGCTGGACTCAACGGTTGCAGATGTGACGATTCAATACTCATAATTAAGGGCTACGAAAAAAATTCCCCAATTCAATTATTTAATTGTGAAAAATTGGCTTATTTGCAATTCTTGTATTAGTCAACTTTTTTTTTTCCTTATTTTAGTTGACTTGGCGTTACCTATTGGTGTGGTTCAATCAATGGATCCAAATACAAGATATCTAACAGCATCTGCTTTCAGTCTCTTTTTGTATATGTGTCAAATAAATAGACTTAAGTCTATAATGACATGTACACACCCAAGTTAAAAAATTCAAAATCTATCTAATATAAAAAAAAGTACTAGGTCTAGAATACCTAACATCCAATAAAAATATAATAATAGTAAATGATTACTGTTGTAAGGTTCACACTTGGGTCCAAAAATAGACCCAAGAGTGGACTTGGTCTTTTTTTTGCCACATAAACTAGACTAGGTCCATTTTTAATTGCATTGTGAAATATTTTTTTTTTTAAATTAAGTCTATTTCTTATATTAAGAGACCCAAAGGTGCTCTAAATAAATCTAATCCTTTTTAATTAATTATTTTTTTAATTTAAATTTAACTAAATTTTAATATAATTTTACTATTATTAATATTATCAATATCATTCAATCACTATTACACATTATATCAACGTTAATTCACTATTCTTTCAATCATGTAATTTTAACTAACTATCATTTCACATCATCTCTTTCACTATTGATTCAGTCATGTAATTTTAACTAACCATCAACTTCAATTATTTTAATATAAATTCAAAATCTATCAAACATCTAAGTATACTATATTTTTCAAAATTAACCAAACCAAAATTAAAAATCCAAACAAAATAAAAAAAAAAATTATATCCAAGCATCGCCAAATAACTGGTAATTTAGCATATATTTCCGTTCTTTATAAATAAGTGAGTTCTTAAAAAAGAAAATATTGTAAGGATTAATAATTTATATTTTGTCTAGTATTATTTTTCATTACATCTCCTTAAATCATGTCTTTATGTATTACCTTATTAATAATTATCCTGTCTTTCTATTTAAATTATATTTTTTATAGTTCATATACTTTGGTTATTTTATTTCCATTCTTTAAGATTTCTTACAATATATAATAGAAATAAATCATTAATAATTTTTATGTTGATGGAGTAGTAAAATTTTTATGTTGTTTTTGCACTTACGCGTTTAAAAATTCCTTTAATTCAAAATGCATAAATATTGTTACTACATCATAAAAGTATTTAAATTCTTTTCTTTAAAAATACTTAACTATCAAAATCAACTTCAAGTTCAACACGATGTGAAAAAAAAAAATAAAAAAAATCAACACGATGTTAACACATCACTAATATTATAACATTTTCAGATTTTGTACAATTCAAAGTTCAATCATTAGAATTTAATATAAATCACCACAATAAGTATTTATGAAGTTTATACGTAATACTATTCAGTTTCAATCTATTCTCTAGGTGACCAAATACATATAGAGTGACAAAAGAGTTAATTCGTAATGGATAATAGTTTATTAACAATGATGCATTATATAAAATACTTAATATCAATACAACAAGCAATGTCAAATTAACCTGACTCAAAAAGAGTTAACTCTTAAGGGATATTAGTTTAACCAGGTGCATTACTTAAAGTATTAGTATCAATACAACACAACTAAACCACGTACTGTTAATTAAGAATTTTTTATTTCTTTGCTTTAGAAAATAAAAATTTAAGTTGTTGTCTTAAGATTTTAAATAAAATTATATAAAACTAAATTATTATTTTTATTTAAAATGACACTCACCATCTATAAAACTTGTCCATCTTATTTTCTCATATTGGATAATAGACTTGATATATAATTTTTTAAAGTTGGTAAATAATAAACTTATTAGGATTGAAAGATAATATTTTTCATTTATAATTATAAAATGTAATTATTTTTTATTTTATACATGCATTGACATTGATGCCAAAATTGAAATTTATCAAAACAGTATTAGTTTGATACATTATATATGAAAATTGATAAAAAAAAAAATATAAAAATGTTCAATTTTAAAATATAGTTATAATCTCAATTAAACAAATATTTATAACATGAAAAATTCAAATCTATCTGTGCTATTTTAAACCACCATATATTATGATACATATAACTACGAAGACAATGGATAAAAGAAAATTTTTTTACCATTGAACTTTTAGCTCAAATAAAATCTTGTGATACATATAACTACGAAGACAATGGATAAAAGAAAATCTTTTTACCACTAGAGTGAACTTTTAGTTCAAATACAATCTTGATAATTGAAAAATAAATTGCACCGTATCAAAGACCTAATTTGGCCCCCCTTTAATTTGTCATCATAGCATATACATTATTCAACTGGTCACCGCGTACAGCTCTTGCACAGTCAAAGTAAAACGTAATAAAACAGTTAAAAGACAACTAACTATAGATGTAGATACTATATTTTAATAAGAAAATTGATTTTCTAATTAAATTTTGGATGATTGTACTTTTACTATATACACACACATTCTGAATCTTAGTAGCTTGAGACTTGTGAGACTTTTAAGATATTCCCTATATACAAATTTCGAATATATTGAGTTTAAGTCGCGGACACGTATGATTTGGGATTTTATGTGACAATTTTTTATATTTTATTATTTGATTTAGATGAATTTTAATTTACTCTCAATCTAGAAATAATGAAACTAGACTATAAATAATCATAAATATTATATTTATGGTCATTTTCAAGTGCATTAATATTAATTTCTATACCACACATTATTTATAAGGCATAATTCTTTTTCCTCAATCTTTCTTTTTTATTTCTTTCTTTTCAATTATGAATAAATTACTAGCATAAATTATAAGTAGATTTAAAAAGTTTAATATATTTTTTATTTATTATCAATTTTTTATACATAATATATGAAATCAATCATGTCTTGATTAATTTCGATTTGACACCTATATTGTACATATAAAATAAATAAATAATTATATTTCTTTTATAATAAAAATTAGATTACACATTAATATTAATTAATAAAATAAAATTATAAATACATTTAACTACAAAGTTGTTAAATGATAGAATTTTAAAAAAATTATAATATAAGACGATAAGCCATATAAGTAATGCGTGTTATTTTAAATATAAATAGTATATATTTATTCAAACATGTATTTAAAAATTAAAAAAAAAATAATTCTAAATATAATTTTTTTAACAAACACCCGTGTAATACACGGGCATTGTACTAGTATGTAGCCATACGGTGCATGATACAATACTGATAAATCGTATAAATTACTAATTAATATATTTATAGTTTTGAATATTAATATTAACTTATATAATTTTATGTTTTGAAGAAATTGTTATTTACACCCCCGTTTCTTGAAGGAGCTCCTTTGGAGCGTTTGATCCCACTAGACTTATTGGGCTTTCCCCACGGAGCAGTAGACAGGATTATTCGAAAACTAAATAAGTTTTTTACACTGGTAGATTATAAGTTAACATTTTCATCCCAGAAAGTGCGAAAAACATTATGTGACAATTGTGCGAATGGCATTGTGCGAAAATTAAAAATGCAAAGGCATTCGCATAACATTCGCACTTTCTACTGTGAACATTCGCATAACATACGGTTATGCGACTGTGATGCGATTGTTAGCGGACGAGGTGAAAAACTTCTATATCTTCAGGTCGGGGTGTAAAAGAAATTGTCCCTTATATTTTTGTGATATATAATAGTTTAATGTACGATTTATATGTGTGTTTCACCTGTTGTAAAATAATTTTCATTTTAGAGTTTCTATTTAGAATTATAAAACATAAATTTAATATACTCAAACACCATCAATAAATAATAATACTCACTAAAATACATCTCTCTCTCTCTCTCTCTCTCTCTCTCTCTCTTGTCTTACTCATATTTTATTTCAATATATTATATCAATTTCTAAATAAGTGATGATAAAGATTAGTATATTATATCGATTATGGTAAAGTTGAAAAATTATGATAAATATAATCTGACACTGAATTCAAAAACAATGTCGTGTATATTAGTTTAAAATTATAATATTTACTATTTTTAATTATAAAATTGATAATTTTTTTTATAATTTATAATAATGTATATTTTATAATTTTTCTTTCTAATCTAATAATTTACATGGTATTTTGACACTGATTGTTGTATCATCATAATTTATAATAATATATATTATAAATATTATGACATTTAATTCTACGCTGTCAATTCACATCGTTGTTTGATATATGACTTGTTGATTTATTATCATTATCTATAATAATATATATTATATATATTATAATATTTCTTCTCGATTACATCTATAGTTCTACAGATTATATGTTGGTTTGTATACATAATAATAACTATATATATTATTGACGGTCGGCCGTCAATGGTTATGGAAAGTATGTTTATGGTCGTTTAATTGGGGATTACAGAAATGTTTATAGTATATTCTAATGGTATAGAATATAGATAGATTGAGGAAATAAACATGCA